CCCCCCCCTGGGAGACCTCTTCCCCTGGGCTCCAGCCAAGCCGACCTTGAGCAACCTCGTAATTGAGTCGAATGGAAGCCCCTTCCCTTTGATCCCTCCCCCGCCGGGAGGGGGGGGGGGGTAGCGACCCCCCCCCCGGGTCAGATACGACGCCCCCCCCTGGGACTCCTCTTCCCCTGGGCTCCAGCCCAGCCGACCTTGAGCAACCTCGTAATTGAGTCGAAGGGAAGCCCCTTCCCTTTGATCCCTCCCCCGCCGGGAGGGGGGGGGGGGTAGCGACCCCCCCCCCGGGTCAGATACGACGCCCCCCCCTGGGACTCCTCTTCCCCTGGGCTCCAGCCAAGCCGACCTTGAGCAACCTCGTAATCTCTTGCTGCGCATTGCGAACAGGGTCGGCGGCACCGGCCGTCAGGCCTTCGCAATAAGAAGAGGCGCCATGAAATCTCAAGAAATAACATGGCCCACGCCAGTTCCCCCCCCACTAGTCATCACCCCCCTCTTGGCCGCCCCCGAAAATAGGGAATCTCCGGCGGCTGGAGGATGTCTCGGGCGCCGCGGCCTTCTCAGAGCGTTCTGGAGCGGATTTAGCCTCGTCCTGGCCCCGCTCACGACTCCACCTTCCCCGACCCCCCTCCTTTCGATGCTGCGCCCTTCTGACGGCTCGCGCGCGTCATCTGTGCTATGGAGTCCGGGTCGCTCGAACGAAGCATCTGTGCCCATCGTCCGCCCCCGAACATCGCAAGCCCGACTCATCCTTGATCATCCTTGCCACACGGACGGCTCACAGAAACAACGTAAGAGAAGACCAGGTTTCTGTCGTCTGGCCCGATCCTCCTCGTCGTCCGACGGCTCCACGAGGCCGAAGCCGCCAGCGGACACCGCGTCCTCCGCGTTGTCCTCCGTGCCCTCGTCGCCATCGGCCTCCTCCTCGCCGTCGCCGCGTGGCCTGCTCGGGGCTGCCGCCACCTCGGTGGACACCGAGACGTCAACGTCCGATGCACCCAGCTGCGGCGGCGCCTCGGAGGCTCCGCTGACGCCGATGCCCTCCGCCTCGCTGCCCGCCGCGGTGGCAGCGGGCGCCGCGGGGCCCGGGGGCGGCGGGGAGGGCCCTCTCGCCGCGCCCGCCGCGCCCGCGCCCGCCTCGGCCTCCGCCTCCTCCGAGCCCGAGTCCGCCCACGCGGGCGCCGCCCCCTCGGCCTCCGCGGGCGGCGGCGGCTGCCCCTGCTGCTGGCGCGCCTGCTGCGCGCGCGGCGCCGCCCGGCAGATGCTGCACAGCATCGCGATGGCGGCCATCGCGTCCAGCGGGGAGTCCTCGTCGCCCGCCGCGCCCGCGGAGCGCAGCGCCGCGCAGGCGGCGCGCGACACCGCGCTGGCGGCGGCGGCGGCCTCGCCGTCGTCGTCCTCGCCGAAGGTCTCCAGGCGCGAGCGGAGGCTCTCCAGGCGGCGCCCGTCGGGCGAGACGCCGAGGAGCCACGCGCCGAGGCGGCGCCGGGCGGCCCACAGCGCCCGCGCGATGAGCCCCGTGGTGGTGTTGGTGCTGCGGGCCCACAGCATGAAGCGGAGGCACATGTTCGAGTGGTCCTGGGACGCGCAGACACATGCGAGTTACTAGTACCATATGTCCGTTTCCGAGAGCCCTGTGCCCCAGAAAACGTGCTCATCTCTTGGGGTCGCATGTTTTACTTCCGCCGCCCTTCCGCCGCCCTGCCGCCGCCTTCCGCCGCGGAAGAGATGAGAACTCTTTCTGTCCTCGAACGACAGGCCCTGTTAGGAACGCCCCAGATGTCCTCCTTGGAGGCGCGCGTCCGACCCGAACACATCGCACACCCCTCTTGCAGCATACCGTTTCCCGAGCGGTGTGGCCCGAGAGCGCCCGCCACGACGCACACATACTACAAGACCTCTCGGAGCCCGCGCCGCCCCTCGGGGCGGGGGGGGGACGCACGCACAGTACTAGTAATTATGCTGGGGTGGCGCCGCCGGTCCAGCTGCTCCAGGAACGCCGCCCGGAGGCGGTCGTTCTCGCGCGCGAGCCGGGCGAGGCGCACCTGCATCTCGCACACGGTCGCGCGCACCTCGCGCTGCACCACCGAGCGGACCCTCCCCTGCACGTGGTCTTCCACCTGGGGGCGCCAGAAGGTGCCGTTGCGGTGATGGCACTGGATGAGGGAACCTTCGATGAGGAAGCAGGGGTCTGGGAGCCAGTGGAAAGCCAATCCTGGATGGGCCATGGACATCACCGCCGCCCTCATCAGATGAGGAACCCTCCAGGGTCTGAAGCCACCTGGGCACGTTCCTGAACGAACGCGCCCACCGTATCGCTGACCTCTCCCGGGGTGCGCTCTGACTAGAATTCCGAGGCGAATTCAGCGGGTTCGACGTGGGAAGGAGGCGCAAAAAGGCGAGAGCGAGGGAAGGGTAGCGTCAGACGAAGGCAGAATCGAAGCAAACTCGGACCTGCATAATTCGGAAATCTCTGAGGACCAGCGGGTTTGGAAGATATATCATATGCCGCGGCCGTTTCAGAGCGTTCCGGCACGCTGTGAGAGCGTTCCAGAACGCTCTGGAACGGATATACCTCGATTTCAGAACCTGATTATTTTAGACTCTGGCACATTTACTTGCATCCACGGGGGGGCCTGATCCTTGAGTCCTAGAGCAAGCCCAAACGACTAGCACGTGCGGAAATCACGCAAGTCGAAAGGCACTTGCACGCTGGTACTCGTTTAAAGAGGGGCGGGGGGGGGCGAGCGCCATGCAAAACAACTTGCCCGAATTTAAAAAAAGTCCTAGGCCCGTCCGATAGCGGTATGGGTACCTTAGTTTCCTTTGGCCACCATCGTCCGAACTTTCTCCATCTCGGCGTGCATGATGGCGTCCAGCTGCTGCTGCACACGCTCCTCCACGATGGCGTGCACGCGCTCCGCCTGCAGGTCCATGCGCCGGTCTACCTCCTGACAAAAGTGGGCCCAGGGGAACACACATAAATCCGCAGACCCTTCGGCGTGTGTGAGATGCTGTCAGCGTCTTCGTCGTCGTCAGTCCCCAAAGAAAAAGGAACGAACAGAGAAAAGAAACGTCGTAGTTAAGCCGATCGCCTCCCCTTAGGGGGCGTGGGGGGGTAGAGGGGGTCTACACAAATTCTAAGATGCCCAATACAGCCGATAATATGATCAAACACTTGTCATCTAAGAAATAGGTGCCAGCTTCCCGAAAGTTCCTGCTGCTGTGTCAGCGCCTGCTTCTTACGCTGGAGAGCCGAACGTGCTCAAGAAACTGGGCCAGCTTTCCAGCAAGCTGGTCGAGAAACTGGCCCGGCGTTTCGGGAGGAGGGTTCTTGATCAGCTGCTCGACTGCATTGTTGCATATGTCTGAGTCTTCGTCTTCCCCTCCGTTGTCCCTTATGTTGCCTGCTTTTCCTGGAAGCCGAAGTTTGTGTGTATGTGGTCAAGTAGGGGATCGACTACATATTTAATTTACCCCGATAGTGGTTTGCTCGTCGAACACGCGGTTGTAATTCGTAGTATGTTCGCAGATCTATGAGCAACCAGTGTATGTTCGCAGACTCGGCGAACAAATCAATTGTGGGGTAGATCATCTTTGTAATCGATCCTCTACTCGATGTGTGTGTGTGTGTGTGTGTCTGTGTGTGTGTCTGGGCCGTCTTCTCCCTCTTGATTCCTGCTGGAAGTTCCGTATCTGGACCTCCATGTCCCGGCGCGTCTCCGCCATCTCGGCCTCCATCCTCTTGCGCTGCGCGTCGTCCGCCAGGCTCCGGACCTTGGTCTCGTAGACGGTCTCGTCGGCGCTACCCTGGTTCAGCAGGAAGAGGCGCTGGATCCACAAGCGACTCCGAATCCTCACAGGGCCGGGCAGATTGGGCGCCCGAGTTATCTGGGGTAACTCGGGTCCAGGGTAACTCGGGTTTGGATCCCCGAAAAAAGAACCCGAGTTAGCCCTGACCCGAGTTACCCCTGGGGCTCTGGACGCCCGAGTTATCTGGGGTAACTCGGGCCCAGGGTAACTCGGGTTCGGATTCCCGAAAAACGTCGGAGGCCTGGAAATGGGCACCAACACCAACACAGGGGGTTGCCTCCACAGGGGGGAGATGATCCTAGATTTCGATGTCGGTGGTAATATTTCGGCCACCTTGGAAGCCAGAATATTACCACCATCGCCGAGATCGGGATCTTCTCCCCTCGGTGGAGGCACACCGCCGAAATTGGTGTTGGTGTCAACCTCTAGGCCTGTAATCGCATGCCTAGAGATAGACACCAACACCAATATCGGCGGTGTTCCTACACCGAGGGAGGAAAGATCCCGATCTCGGTGATGGTGGTAATATTCTGGCTTACAAGGTGGCCGAAATATTACCACCAGCATCGAAGTCTAGGATCATCTCCCCCCTGTGGAGGCAGCCCCCTATCTTGGTGTTGGTGCCCATTTCCAGGCCTCCGAGTTTAAACGAACCCGAGTTAACCCTAGCCCGAGCTACCCCGATGCTTCGGGGCTCTGCGCAGTGCCACGGAGGCACGCGCGCTCGGAGCTCCGCGCTAGGACACACACATAAATGCACAAATAAAGAATCCCCCATATCTCCCCATATTTTCTCGGTTTATGCCATCCCCCCCACTTCCCATACCTTCCCATATTCTCCGGGGAATCGACGATTCATTGTGTCTGTGTGTGTTCTCCCCCTCTTGAGGTAACGCTGACCCGAGCTGCCCCCGATGCTTCGGGGCATCTGCGCCGTGCCACGGAGGCACGCGCGCTCGCGGAGCTCCGCGCGGAGAGCTCCCGGACCGGCACGGCGCCCCCCCCCCACCGGTGCGCTCTCCGCGCTCCGGGAGCGGCGACGGAGGCGCCGCGAACCCTGACCTTCCAGAGAGCTATGTATCAGCACGGGAGGCCTGAAAGCCTCAAAAACGGAGCGAAGCAGCCGAACACCAAGACAGACAATAGCTCTGGGATAGGTTATCAAGTCGGGTGCTATTTTTGTTGCCCTCCTGGCTAAGGTCAGGGGAAGGGAGGGCCCGCCGCCGGCCCGGAGGTCCGCGCGGACCTCCAGAGGTTCTGTCTCTGCTGCTTGCCCTTCCTGTAGGGGCCCTGGGACACACAAGTAAACACACACACACACACACACACACACAAACAAAGGGATTCCCCATATTTTCCCATATTTTCTGGGTTTTTGTCTCCCCCCCACTGCCCATATCTTCCCATATTTTTCCGGGGAATCGACGATTCATTGTGTCTGCGTGTCTCTTCCCCTCCAGAGGTTCTGCCTCTGCCGCTTGCCCTCCCCTGCAGGCTCCTGTCGTGCACCCTCGCGAGCTCGCCGAGCCGCTGCGTGCGGCGCTCCATCGCCCACTCCAGGCCGGCGGAGCTGCAGGTGCGCACCGCCAGGATGTCCGCGAGGGGCAGCCGCGCGGCCACCAGGGGCAGCAGGGGCCCGATGCAGTCCGTGATGCACGCGGGGCCGGCCGGCTCGGCGCACGCGAGGCAGGGGCCGATCGCCTGCGGGCGCTCCCCACAGTGTGAGCGCGCGCGCCGCGGAGAGGCAGCACGGCGCGGGCTGTTTTTTTGGGCCGTGCTCGGCCTCTGCAGGGGGGGGCCCTCGCTGGGCCCGGGAGCCGCCGTCAGGAGGAGGACACTCGGGAGAAAGGGCGGGCCCCGGGGAAGGGGGCGGGACGTCCGAGGACCACGCAGGTAAAACTTCCAGGGCTGGACCTGCACGTTGCTTTCCGTTTTTTTTTCCTTGTGCTCTCCGTGCTGCCCGCCCGTTTGCCTTCACCTCCCTGCCAAAGACGACCAACAAAGCACAGCCGAAGTCCAACAAAACAACGTTTAGGTCCAGCCCTGTGTAAAGCATCAAGACGTCGCCTGCAGGTACTCCGTCTCCCTCCGGCGGAACGCCTGGAGGTCCACGGCCCTCCGCCGCTCCTCCTCCTCCTCGTCAGTCTCCTCCAGGAAGGCAAACAAAGACAACTGTACGGCAGTGTAAGCTTTCGGTACGCGCAGACTGCTTGGGACGGCGCTGCCAGAGTCCCCCCTTTCACTCTGGCGCGCGAAGCGCGCCAGTGGCGGCGCGCCCAGCGCTGGCCCAAGAGATGATCCGCGGGGACCTCCATAAGTCTCTCGTCGTGCCTTGGACGAGAATGATGTCATGATGCGATTGGCTCGGGATATACGTCCCAGGACCCCCGGAGTCTCTAGCGGCTCTCGCGTCTGCAATGAATCAACATCATGACCTCTTGCTTCTCCGAGTGCCGTCTTCTGCCCCTTCACGCCTCGGCGTCGCGCGCATCCTCGAACTCCTCGGCGTCCTCGTCCTCGGCGGCCCCCTCGGGCGCGGCAGCGGCCGCAGCGCCCGCTGCCGCGTCGAGGGCACCCTCCCCCGCCGCCGCGGCCTCCTCCGCAGGCTCCACCGCTTCCGCCCCCGCCGCCGCCGCCGTCCCCGCCTCCGCCGCCGCCGTCCTCGCCTCCGCCGCCGCCGTCCTCACCTCCACTGCCGCCGTTGCCGCCTCCGCCGCCGCCACCTCCGCCTCCGCTTCCGCGAGGGCCGCTGCCAGGGCCGCCTCCACCGCCTCCGCCGCCGCCGCGCCAGAGGCGCCCTCCCCGCCGGGCGCACCGGCCTCCCCCGCCGACTCTTCCGCCGGCCGCCCCGCCGCCACCGCCTCCGCCATGTCAACCTCCGACCCCGCCGCCTCGAGGGCCGCGAGCGCGACTGCGGTGGCCTGCGCGGGGCCGACGCCCTGCCCCCCGCCCTGCAGCGGCGGCGCGGGCCCCCTGCGGGCCGCAGGAGGTACGGCCGCCACCGGCACCGTCACGGGGACGACGCCGAGCAGCCGCTGCAACTGCATCCGGATGTGGAGCGGGCACGTGCCATCCTCCAAGATCTCGTGCAGCAGCTCCCGCGGCGCGGCCACAGTGTCCGCCATGCCGAGGCTCGGGGTCCACGAATCTCCCCCCCGTGCCGCCAGAAGGGCGGGGGGGGGGTGCCGTGGAAGGCCCGAGCCAAACCGCTGCAGGCAGCTTCGCCCTCCCGCTGCCGCTCGTCCTCCCAGGGCCTGCCAGGGCCTCCCGCACCATCATCACGTGGGGCCCCAGTATTGCCGTTTCAACAAGGGGTCGCACCAGTCGCAAGATATTCTCGCCGTGAGCTGCTCTCCTGGGCCCGAGCGGGCCCCGGGAAGCCTGCGCCCAAGAGGCAACAGCATATGTCGCCGCGGGTTGTGCTCTCGACGCGCCCAGATGGACGACGACGCCGACACCACGGCAAACCCACAACAAGCCGTGCGTCCCGCGCCCCCAAGCAGACGAATTCGGCACCACGGCACACCCCGCGGCAAGCCCACCGCGCCCGGAGGCGGCGTTTGCTCTGGTGCCCGCGGCGCCCTCCCCAAGACGGGGGTCACCCGTCGGAGCGAACGGCGCGGCGGTACCCGGAAATGCCGCCACGATGTGTCCAAGCGGCACCCGACGTCGTGACCGAATCGCAACGTCACCGTCGTGAGCCAGTCGCAGCGCGGCGAAACAAACAACGACCAACAACTCACAGACCCGTCTTCGCGCAGGATCTCACGCGCTGGATCGACGTTTGAGCGTCGCGGGGCCTGGAACGGGGATTGCCAGCCGCACCCCGCGGTACTTTTTTGGGTCAACGGCCTCGTGAAGCGGGTGAAAAAGGCGTCCAAAACCTAGCCAGGCCACGACTAGGCAGCGGAAAAAGAGGAAAGCGGAAAAGCAAAACGGGCGCAGCAGGGCGTCAGCTCAGAAGGGCGAAAAGAATGGTATACCCATTCCCAATGGCGTCCGAAAATCCCGGTGGCTACCAGCAAGTAGACGCAGCCAAAATGGCGCGGCGGCGCGACTAAAACCACGTAGAAGTCGATCACTCGGTGTGGGTCAGTCAGACGGCAACGTCAAAGACGAACGAGACCGACAAGCACCCCCAGATGACATCCGTAGAGTGGAAGAACACAAATGTCGAAACATCGTGTCAGCGCAAGAGTGAAGAGGGGGCAACCTCGTCACAGATAGGACTGCAAACGGCAGTAACTCTTTATTGTAGAACAGTGGCACATGTCGAAAGCGGAGTCCTTGCAGGAGAAAGCCGCCGACGGGCGCACAGAGCCACACATGCCGAACCCGAAGTCCTTGCACCGTAGAGGTCGGCAGCGTAGCGAGACCCCACTGAATCCTTTCGGCCATCAGCGGAGGCCGACACCAGCCAGGAGCAGGCCCGGGGGCAACCTGACCGCCCATTCCCAGTGTGATCCTTGCATAGAATTCAGGCTGTCAGAACACCATCAGACAGCGGTATTGGCGGCAACCCCAACCGCGTGGGATAAACCCGGTGAAACAAAGGAGAGGAGGGAAAGTGCACGCCAGGCACGGTAGGCACCCCGGTGTGGCAGCTAACGGCTGCAGCAATAGGATGGAGGACGGGGGGGAAGGAAGTGCACGCCAGGAGATCCAGGTTGGCGGAGCATCACCCAGCAGCGGTATTGGCGGCAACCCCAGCCGCGAGGGAAGATCCGAGTGAAACAGGAGAGGGAGAGTCAGCTAACCGCTGAAGCAAAAGGAGAAGAAGGAGGAGAGCTTACCATAACCCTGTGTACACTGACGCCCACGCCAGGCGCTCTGTATCGAAGCTTACCTCAGTAAACCCGCCACTGGCACCAGCTTGCCATGCGCCCCGCGATACGCGACGCGCAATTATTTTCGCACCCTCGCAGGGCCACCTTGGAGAAGGGCAACTACCCAGGCCAGGCAGCGACGCGCAAAGCGCAACTACATTAGATACGCCAAGAGAACTTGCTTTAAGAAACCAAGCGGCACTTGTGCCGTCCGATGCTTCCTGCGTGTCCCAGGGCGTCTGCTGGTCCCCGGGGCCATCGCTGGATGAGATCATATCGGCGGGACACCTGCTGGCAGACTGGTGCCCCTCGAGGTAGTCCCAGCCGGCCTCAACGAGCCTCCGAGTGAATAGTCCTACGCGGCCTTAGCACCCCACAGGGCACCGCCGGGGGCGGTGCTGGGGTGCCAAGGCCGGCTCGGACAGCTCGCGCGGTTTGTGGAGGCCAACCAGAGCTACCTCGGGGGGCTGTCCGTGCGAAGCCGAAAGGCTTTACCAAAGTGTCTACGGTATTTCCGCCCCTTGGCAGGCGACTCCGACGGGGTTGCCCCGAATACATTCCAGACCTGTCCCCAGAACACTCCCGAGTCCGTCCTGAACAGCTGTTCGAGCTGCGCCCATCCGTAGCGACGAAGACCTCCAGAAGCGCCCAAAGGCATCCAAAACGTCGGCGTCGCAGAGTCATTACCTTCGCGCCCCCGTGGGTAAGCGAGAGGAGGTAGGAGAAGGAGGAGCCGGAGGAGGAGGAGCAGGAGGAGGAGCAGGAAAGGAGGAGGAGGAGGAGGAGGAAAAGTAGTACGAGGTAGGAGTAGGAGGAGGTAGGAGGAGGAGGAGCAGGAGGAGGAGGAGAAAAAGTAAGTACGAAGTAGGACTCTAACTAGCCTGCTCGAAGGAGACAGAAGGGCCCTGCCCACTCCCCACCGCCTCCCATGGCATAGCAGTCGACAGAGGCACAACAAGACACTGGGACTCACGCGAACGCGCCCACCTCGCGAACGGAAGGCGCTTTCTCACGCGCGCGCCGCGCTGCTTCCGCTTCGGAGAAGAGAAACCACGTGCTGCGCAGATGTAGAAGCGGAACCCTCGGGGAATCCTCGCGCGTCGCTCAGGCGAGAGCACCACTCAGCCCACTCGCGCGAGGTCGAACTTTCCGACGGTGCTGGCGAAGGCAAACCATCCCCGCTGCCGACAAATTGGCCGCACTCGAGCGGCCGAAATGTGCGTCGCGCTCAGGCGGAGCGCCCAAGCTGGAGTGCAACTTTCAGGGCTTAGCCACCGTAGGCCCCAAGCAGCGTGTTGCAGCACACTGCGTGCTGCAATCTATGTGGTGCAATTGATTTTTACCCATGATTTGACACATCCCACGCTCTTGCGAACATCCCACCCACCCACCCGCAACTTGGTTTGCAAAACCTCTTAAGACCGACTACGACGACACCAACGACAACGACTACGACGATACCGACGACGTCTCCGACGACTTCGACAACGACAACGACGCCGACGCCGACGCCGACGAAGACGACGACGACGACGCCAACGAAGACAACGACGAGGGAGGAAAGACGACGACGGCGACAACGACGACAACGACGACAACAACGAGGGAGCAGGGAGGACGGCGACGACGCGAACGACGAAGAAGGAGGAAGGACGGCGACGCCGACGACGACAACGACGAGGGAGGAGGAAGACGACGACGACAACGACGACGGCGACGAAATAGGAGGGACGACGACGAGACGCCGACGACGGACGACGACGACGACGAAGGGAGGAGGAGGAAGGACGACCACGGCGACAACGACGACGGAAACGACCACGACGCCAAAGAGGACGACGACGACGAACACGAGGAAAGACAGAGGACGACGTAGGCGACGACGACGACGTCGACGCGGGAGGAGGGAGGACGACGACGACGACGACGACGACGACGACGACGCAAGAGCGCGCGCGCGCACGCTTTTGTTGAAAATCCGTGTTGCGAAACCTTGTGTTTTTGTATGTTTTCTGGACACACGATTTTGATATCCTTCCGAAACCCATGGGTTTTGAAGGATTTCGGCATACGCGCGCGACGACGCGCGCGTCTGCACTTCGTTCCATTGTTTGCAGAGGATTCTCGCGACGGCACACGCGCAAGGGCGTTCGACATATTTCGACATGCGCGCGCGCGCGAAGCCCGTTTGGTAGCATGTTGTGAAAATCGTGAAAAACCAATGGTTTTCTCAAGATTTCGCAAGAGCTCGCGCGTAAGGTTCTTTAGCACATCAGTGTTGCGAAACCATGTGTTTTTGCATGTTTTTTGGAATCTCGATTGCGAAATCCTTCCGGCACAAAAGGTTTTTGAAGGATTTCGGCATGCGCGCGCGACGACGCGCGCGTGTGCACTTCGTCCTAATTTTTGCAAGGGGTTCGCGAAAAGTGTAATGTTAGAACAAAAAATGTCACCGCATAGTGTTTTTTTACAAGGGGACCTCAGGGGGGGATACCGGTTGGCCTGGGACATTTGTGATCTCATATTTCGGATGGACATGCGGTCAGAATCATATCTGATTTACATATCCGAAAGGGGGGGCGATAACTCCGGGGGGGGTAGAGTCTATTAGAAAGGAGAATCTGCGCGATGCAAACAAAATATGTTCGCATTGAATTATGCAACCCGCTGCTCTCAGAACCACCCACCCACACAACCGCACCTTGGTCTGTAAAACCCATGCGGCGACTGCGATGAGTGCTTGGCGATGGCTGGTGCATCTCTGCGGCCGCGCCAGCCCGCGCATGCTCGCGCGCGCAGCTGCCAGCTCGTTTGGCGCGACCGGCGCGGCCGCAGTGTTACTGACTACTGGGCGCTTCCCAGCGGGCACTTCAGTGCGAGTCGGCGACTTGGGCGGGCGCGGTATCATGGCAACGCCGACAACAACGGTTGTCAAGATGATGGTGATAATGATAATGAAAATGATAATGATGATGATGATGCTGATGATGATGATGATACTGATGATGATGATGATGATGATGATGATGCGGGTGATGATGGTAGCGATGCTGGTGACGATGGTGACAGCGATGACGACAAGGCCAGTGGCGGCGCCGATGCTGATCACGCCGATGACGATGACGATGTCCTCGCGTGTGTGATGAAGGTTTTGGAGGGTGTTCGACGTGCGCGCGCGGTCGACGCGCGAAAGTGACCAGCATGGTGTTATTTATTTGACATAGATCGTGCCCCCCCCAACACGTGCGCAATGGCGTTCGAATTATTTCGACATGCGGAACGAGAGGCCCGCTTGGCCG